ATGTAACCTTCTTTGTCTGATAGTTTGCAATTTGCAATGTTTTTATAGTCCACAATGATGAGAATAGTTCATATTGGGTTTTCTTTACTTTACCCACTGATTCTTCATTTTCCTTGTGTGAAAGAAGCAAAAAATAGATAAAGGTTGCACGTGTCATAGAAAAAGATTAGTGCACCTTTTCTTTACTTTTTGTGCAACCTTAGCTATGATATGTGCAACCTTTTTTTATACAACCTTTATATCTATGATACATGTAACCTCCTTTGTCTAATAGTTTGCAATCTGCAACACTTTTATAATCCATAATGATGAGAAGAGTTGATCTTGGGTTTTCTTTACTTTATCCAGTGATTCTGCATTTTCCTCGTGTGAAAAGAAGCGAGAGAACATAGATAAAGGTTGCATGAAAGATATATAAAGATTGCACATATCATAGCTAATGTTGCACACGTCATAGTTAAATGTTACACGTGTCATAGAAAAATATTAGTGCAACATTTCTCTACTTTTTGTGCAACCTTAGCTATGAGATGTGCAACCTTTCTAAATTTTTCATGCAACCTTTATATCTATGATACATGTACCCGCATTTGTCTAATAGTCATTAAATCTGCAACGCTTTTACAGTCCATAATAATGAGAATAGTTGATATTGGATTTTCTTTACTTTACCCAGTGATTCTGCATTTTTCTCATATGAAAAAAGCGAAAGAGCATAGATAAATGTTCCATTAAAAATATATTAAGATTGCACAGTTCCGGTTCTGAAAATCAGGAACCGTTCATTTACTGTTCGTTTCCGGTTCCAGGCCCGTGGGAACCGAACCGTATATATATATTTGATTATATTATATATGTAATTGTATACTATAGTAACTAGACTTTCAAGTCATCAAGTATCAAGTCAGGTCTGTCATTAGTGTCATATATATTTAATTGTATACTCAATTACTCATACATTATACGCATGGTCCACGTTGTAATGTTGTAAAATGTAAACCACAGAAGAAAGTTAAAAGTTAAAACCTAAACGTAACTTCTCAAAGTCAAACTTTGAAACCGGCAAGCCGCCTCCCCTCCTCTCAATCTCTCATGATCTTATCCGTGTCATTGTCACATATTCACATACTCACAAAGACATTCGCATCTTTTCAGCTCTATCTTTTGTATCACAGTATCGCCGTCACTGATTCACCTTTAATTCATAGTTCCACACCGGTCTCTCATCTTCTCAGATCTTCCGGTCTTTGATTCGTGGTTCACTAGTTCTGGTCACATACTTTTTAGATCTTTTGGTTGTTGATTTGTGGACCTGTCACATACTTCTGGTCTTTGATTCGTGGTTCATTGGTTGGTCTATCATATTCTTAGATCTACACACCTAATTACTGTTGTTGAACTTTGAAGCCGTCGTGACTCCGTCGCTCTCAGTTTCTCCATCATTTTGGTAGGTATTCCGTTTTCATTTGATTTTCCGTCGCTCTCAGTTTCTCTTTATATTCTCTCTCTCTCTATATATATATCTCTCATTCTCATTTTCTCCTTAAATATGTCATAACCATCTAGGCTCTAAATAGGCGATTTCAAGGTATTGAAAAGAATCTGTATATTGCCATACAAAGAATGGTTTACAGCGCTTTAGTTATATAGGAAATACAATGAGCTAAAAAAGGAAACTATAGGCTGTACACTAATAGAATTTACTAATTCTTAGTTATTGACTATCTATATTTATACGCCTATCATATCCCTTAAAATCCGATCTTATTGAAACCGAATATCTCTTATTCAACACTCCCCCTCAAGCTGGCTTGTAGATGTCTTTGATAGCTACCTTATTTCTTAAAACTTCAAACTATCTCTTATGTAGTCTTTTGGTAAGGATGTCTACAACTTGTTCAACAGTAGAAACATAAGGAATGCAAATCATACCATAGTCAAGCTTTTCCTTGTTAAAGTGTTTGTCAACTTCCACATGTTTGGTTCTGTAATGACTCAGTCATTTTCCTTCTTTTCCATTCTCCCAAATTTTACGGGTTTTTTTTTTTTTTTTCGTTGATTTCTTTTTCCAAGTTTTCTTTTTCCGTCAATCTCAATGGCGGCGCTTTTTGGATAAAAACAAATCTGAGATATTTCGAAGATATTTTTTGGGAAAAGGACAAAAGTGGTTGGTAGGGTGGTACAATTAGATAAGATCAATCATTTGGATAATGACAAGATAGTTCGATCGATCGAAGAATAATGTTGGATCGATCGAACTTTTGAGATTTCTGAAAATGTCATCATGACTCTGATCCATCTTGAAGTGCTGAGATCGATCATGTTGGATTGATCGAACTTTGATCTAAGATCGATTGAAGATGTTGATTTTCACATTTTTCTTCCTTTTGCTTCCACTTGGCTCCTTTCTTTGATTCATCCCAGAATTGCTTCATTTCTGCTCTTATTTGGCTGAGTTAGCTTATTTTCGGGATAAGTGCCTGAAAATGGAAATAATACGAAATCAATCTAAAACGGTAAAGTAAGATAGATAAAGGTACTAGAATGCCTAAGCTTAAGGGGTTTAAATACGCACTTTTTAGCGCTCACCATACATCCGTACGGACCGGGACTAGCAAAGGAAGTTTTCACCGTTCAGCCGAATTGTGGTAATCTGGATCGAGTGTGCCTCAGAGTTTTGGACTTGGGACTCAGAAGTCTTGGTCTTGGACTCAGGTACATCATCAGACACGGTGATTAAGGTTGTTTGGAAGAAAAAATGACGGCTAGGTTTTTTTTTAAGAAGAATCGGTAAGAGGCTTTGATACCAAATAGGCGATTTTAAGGTATTGAAATTAATCTGTATATTGCCGTACAAAGGATGGTTCACAGTGCTTTAGTTAAATAGGAAATACAAGGAGCTAAAAAAGGAAAATACAGGCTATACACTAACAGAATTTCCTAATTCTTAGTCATTGACTATCTATATTTACACGCCTATCATATCCCCTAAAATCCGGTCTTATTGAAACTGAATATCTCTAATTCAACACTCTGGCGACTAGGGAGTCAGCAAAGTGCGACACGGCAGTCACGGCTTCATCGGTTTCATCGTCTTCCTCAGACAAGGTATTTTTTTTTATTTTTCTATTATCTTTTTCATTTTTCCCTTTTCCTTTTCTAATAAAAATTTGCTTTATTTATCTAACTCATCTAAATTTTTCCTATCATCTTTTTTCATATTATAACTCATCTAAATTTTTTATATTTTTCCTATTATTTTTTTCATATATAACTCAACTAAATTTTTATTTTTAATCAAACTTTTGCTTTATTTTTCCTTTTCCTTTTCTAAATTTCTAATCAAACTTTTGATTTATTTTTGCCTTCTGATGAATTTCAGATGTCAACATTGTATCTATCACGTGACTCCAATGAGCATTCTCAAGGTCATGAACCTCAACCCATTGTTACTTCTTCTAAAAAGGGATTTCAAATTCCTCCTAAAAAAAAAAGGGTCGTGAGTCTCCTATGTGGCAACATTTTATTAATGAATTTGATAATAGGAAGCCAAATGGTGCTAAATGTAAGTATTTTGGAGCAAAATTTAAGTGGTTGAGTGAGAATGGGATTAGTATTTTAAAAAAACATCTTACTAAAGTTTATCCCAAATACTCCAACAAAGACAAGAAACAAAAGATTTTGTCATTTCAATCAGGACACAAAAAGATAGTAGTAGCCTTGGTGTTTAGAGCTTTGATGAAGAAAAATGTTGGCTAGCTCTTGCTAAAATGATAATTATAGATGAGTTGCCTTTCAAATTTGTAGAACATGAACGTTTTTGTTACTTTTGTAACGTATTGTAACTTGACTTTAAAATTGTGTCATGCACTACCTTAGCAAGGGATTGTTTTGCATTATATCTTAATGAGAAACAGAAATTGAAATATTTGTTGTTGAAGCCAAACTAAAGGATTTGCATCACTATAGATGCATAGACTTCACTGCAAAACCTCTCTTATATGCGTATTACAGCTCATTTTATTGATAGTAATTGGAAATTGCGTAAAAGAATAATAAACTTTTGTACACTTTCTAGTCACAAAGGTGAGGCGATTGGTCAAGTCATGGAAGAATGTTTCATGACATGGGGTATTGAGAAACAAGGTACTATTACCGTTGATAATGCAAGTTCAAATGATGTTGCTGTTGGATATTTGAAGAAAACAATTTCTATGGATAATGAAACTTTCATGTTGGGTGGTGAGTTTATTTCATGTTAGGTGTTATGCTCATATTCTCAATTTAGTCGTGAAAGATGGGTTAAATGAACTAAAAGATGCAATAATTTGAATTCGTAGGGCAGTAACATATCTTAGGAGTTATCCACAAAAGAGATCAATGCTTCAAAATATGTGTAGAAAAGGAGAATATAACAAGTAAAAGCTTTTTGTGCCTAGATGTTCCAACTAGGTGGAACTCCATACATCTAATGCTAAAGGCCACAATCAAATTTCAAATATCATATGAAAGGCTAGGATATGAAGATCAATTCAAATTAGAACTTACTAGTAATGATGGAATTCCTACAACTAAGGATTAGGATGATGCTTATTTTTTTTACTCAAATATTGTAAAAAATCTATAATGCCATAGTACGTTTGTCTGGTTCGTTGTGTGTCACTTCTAATTGTTCTTTCATGAAATTTGTGGCATCGAAGCTAGCTTTGGTTGAATGGTCCAAACCTTTAGATCCTTGTATAAGTTCCATAGCAAGAAAAATGAAGATTAAGTTTGATAAGTATTGGGGAAACATTGAGAAGTTGAATGTAATGGTATTCATTGCAAATGTGTTAGATCCTCGTTGTAAATTGAAGTATTTGAGGTTTTGTTTCTCCAAAATTCATGATCCAACCAAGGTAAATGTGCTGATGAAAAGGATAGTATATATCCCGAATCGTCTTTTTGATGAGTTTGAAAATGTGATACCCCTCGGATCCGAGACACGAGTTGATCAAGTCCGACCCGAGTCCGAGGGATACCAAACAATTAAAGTTTTTTAAACGAACACAGATTACAAAAAAAAAATGATTTAAGAAATAAAAGAATAAGCGGAAAGAAACTATAAAAGAAATCCTCGATATAAAAACCTTAAAATATTAATAACTTAAAATCCTACAATCCAAAATCTCCAATCTTTTAACAACTTGGGAATCCATCTCTAGTGGACCCTAATATAAAAATCCCAAACTGAATCAAAGTAAAACTGAAGATAAAATCCAAGTCGAACATCTGGAAAGAGATCCTACATCGTCGGAAGAATGAGTGACCGTTTCTGCTCCACACGAACAAACTCAAGCCTGGAACTGACGTACACCTGTAAAATAGGAGTGGGTCAGGCCCACGAACAAGTTCTATCCTACTGCAATCCAAGCAGAGACCCGATACGCATGTACATACTAAATAGTTCAACAATATCTAATAGTCCGTACATAAATATATATCCACACTACTGGACCCTCGCTAGACTATGAAGAGGGTCTCAACCTGAATAGAAGACATCACACAAATCGCACCTGAGTGGGTATGAGTACCTAAGCCTAAACAGGGTATACCTCAATCCCCACAGTCAGCTACATATCCAACTGCATATACGCATCCTAACCGTTGACTCTGAGACTCAAGCTCATGTCACGGTACCATAAAAATATATTTAAACTCCAATTCCATCTATCCACAAGAAATCCATTAAGTCGTTCAGCGTAGTCAACCGCACCGACTTACATACATATAAGGAGGATTTATTTAATAACCCGTACCCTTATTCCAAATAGGTAGAACTTAGCAACTTGTGCTGTCCAAACCTAGTATGTCACCGTCCCATACCGGTACATACAATCCCATCCGTCCAATAGTTGATAAAGCATATACAAATATATAACAATATCAACGAGTCCATATCAAGCATATCAGAATGTATTAACAACCGTTCTTGAATAGTCCCAACAAATTGATTAATATTGGAAACATAAATATCAATATTAATTACTCTATTCCACACATTTAAATAATTTATAAATGCCAAAACCAACAATTCCAACCTAACCATGTTAGAATAGATTAACCATCATGCTTTAACAAATCCAACCATTGATTAAGTACTAACAGTGTCAAAACCCACAGTTCCAAACTAAGCACATTCAAGTATACTAGAAAAACATGCTTAATTAATCCAACAATAAGCCATTACCTGATCACCCACAGGATTGTGTCTGTAAATATAAGTTTATTCCCGGTATCCATAATTAACAGAGCTTAAACAAATGTTATAATATTTATTTCCATGGCATGCATAATAAATCTAGACAATTTATCATACTGTTAAGTTCCTATTCAACAAAATTGACGAATTAAATGTTAAGTTTAATAATCAATTAATCTTTAGCAAAAATACAGATTCCTTGTATGTATGTATATTCTAAGAATTTGCAATTAGCAGTGCACAAACTCTCATAGGAAATTTTCCATTATAATCTAGAAGTTAGAAACTCCAAATCCACACAAGTCTACAAGACATTCGTAATTAACTCCATGTAATCCTAATGATTAATGCTTTGTGTCCAATTCTATGTTAATCTGATCTTTGAATATTTATGTTTACTCTAGACCACTCCTAAACCATCCATTACAGTATTCATTCTCCACTAAAACATAGTAAAACAATCACTATGAAGCTTAATCACTGAAAAGTGGAAAAACAAACAACAGAACCAAAAACCCACATAGAAAACAACTTGGAGCCGGCTCCAGAATATTGGAGCCGCCTCCAATGGCCTTGGAGCCGGCTCCTAGACCATTGGAGCCGCCTCCAATCCAAGGAGAGCCGGCTCCAATCCAATAGGAGCCGGCTCCAATCCAATAGGAGCCGGCTCTCTCCCTCCTCTTCTTCGTGTTCTCCTCTCCAGTCGTCGTTTACGCCTCCGACACTTCACAGTATAGGTTTTCAGAGAGTTTAACTTAATCCCAGAAGATTCCAACCCTTAATTCAGTCTTTATTATGCTACTAATATGGATCAAACCAAGCACAATGCAAGATCAGTTCCAAGCTTTAACAGTTTATCAAACCAAACCTAGGACTAACAGTTTGCGTCCTAGTAACAGATAACCTATCTATTTTTGTTTTAAAACCATATAATAAACCTGGAACCAATTTAATATGCAAAGAACACGAGTATAAGGGAGAGAGTAAGGTTAGAACTTGCCTTTGAGATCTTTGTTCAAAATCTCTACGCCATCTCTAAAGCTTTCCGACGATTCCCACTACAAAACTACTATGTTGCTTCTCTATCTCTAGAGACGTGAATAGGGTTTTGTTTGTTTTCTAAAACCCTATACAGACATCTCACTTATATTTATAGGGTTTTACTAAACCCTAGATTAATTCCAACCCTCCTAAAAATCCTCACCGACCCAAAGAAACCTAATAAAACCTACGTCGGCAACAACTGACTTTTAAAACAAAACCCTATTAAAAATACAATTAAATTAAAATAATTACCACTTAAATTAAATTAATCAAACCATTTTATTAAATTAGATTAAATCAATTAAACAGTTAAATTAAATCAAGTAAAGCATTTAATCCTAATTAAAAAAAAATAACTAAATGAAATCAAAACACAACCATGAAAACAATTAAACTAAAATAAAGTATAAACATAAAACCCAATAAACTCATAATGAAATTTAAATAAATTTTCAATTAAAACAAACCAATTCATAATTAAATAAATAAAAATATAATTTAAACAATAAAATAAATTCCAAACCTGTCCTTTTTAAATTAGGGGTATTACAGAAAAGGTTGAGTTAGTTCATCTTTATTTCAAATTGTAAATGTTGAGACTAATACTATAGAGATTGACCAACACCAACCGGGTGATACAATGATGTGGTCTCACTATTAGAGTTTGAAAAACATTTGGAACAAGAAAAAGATGATAGAGACAAAACTGAAGTGTACAAATATTTGAAGGAATCTTGTGAAAATAATAGTTCAAACTTTGATGTTTTGAATTGGTGGAAGGTGAATAGTGTGTGGTATAAAGTTCTTTCTCAAGTTGCAAGGGTTATTTTAGCCATTCCTGTCTTTATTGTTGTTTCGGAGTCCATATTTAGTATGGGAGTTCGTGTTCTTGATTGATTCTGTAGTTCTATTTGTCCCAAATTTGTGGAAGGCTTAATTTGTGAACATGATTGGTTGCGTTCTTTAACGGTCCCAATTCAAGTGGAAGAAACGACGGCTGAAATTGAAGCAATTGAATCTGGTACCATTCATTTCATATAAAATTTAGTTTTAAAGTATTTTACTTTTATTGAAATATTTATAAAAGTTGTCTTTGGCTTTTGTAAATGAGAATCATGCGAGTCATGTGTAGTCACTAGTTAGCAGGCTAGCAGCAGCATGCAGCATAATGGAATTCGAACTATCGGTGATTTAGTTTTTTTGAATAATCATATTAGTGAATGATGTTGATTCAGTTTTTTATAAGTGTAATGGACTATCAGACTTTAGTATCACACATTCAGTACGGGATGCAATATTATTGTATTGACAATAAGTTTGAAGTTTTCTATTCTGTATCTATTTAAGTTTTTTATTTGTGCTATTGTATTTCACTATTTTGTTTGATTGTTTTAGCTATGGGCTTAATTTCACTGATATTATATAGCATTGTTATTGTATTTTGTTTAAGGGAAATACAGGAAAATAATTATATAGTTGGGAAACCGTGGAACCGAACCGGCATGCACAGTTCGGTTCGGTTCGGTTCCATATATAACGTTTCCGGTTCTATACTTAAGGAACCATTAAAAACAGTTTCGAACGGAACCGCACCGTATGCACCCCTATCTGCAATTTTATTAATTATCGCAGTGAATGGTAAAGGCAGGGGTGAGAGATGAGTATGAAAAAAATTGATGGTACTTAATTGGTAGAAGAATTGAATAGAACAAAAATGAACAGATAATGATTGGAGTTTTGCATGGTAGACAAGGCACCATAGCATAACTGGTTTTGAGTAGTTCAGTGATGGTGAGAGTGTAGTGTGAGAGAGAGACTAAGGAGGATGATGGAGAGAGAGTGTGTTTTCATACAGTGGTGTCCGTGGGTTTAAAAAAGAAACCAAACGGTGACGTTTTTTAAAAAGTCCTTTTAAGTAACTTTAACTTTTAAGATTTTTTTTATTTTATGTTTGTTTTTGTAAAATGTGGCCTTTTCACCCTTTTGTTAAAGTCAATTTGACAAAAAAAGTCCTTATTTGCTCACTTTATATTAGACCTGTCAACGGGTTGGGTTTTGGACCGGTTCATGGTCAATCCGATCCGAATTCGATAAGCAAAATAACTGATCTGATTCGATCCGATAATCCGACGGATCCTTTCCTAATCAATCCATATCCGATATTAACGTATCGGATGTCCGATCCGATTAATCCGATCCGATTATATATTATACAAAAGCAATATTTTGAAAAAATACAAATCAAACAAAACGATCCGAATATACCAAATATCAGCATGTATTTGATCTATGAAATTCATCTGTGAAGATCATTCCACTGCTGAAAATATGTTTAATTTGGTAAAACAAATAGAATCAAAGTTAGGGTATTAAAAGAGAGGGAAACAGTTTTTGTAATACATACCAAAAATCACCAAAAAGAGATAAAAATGAAAGAGCGAATGAGTGGGAAGAATAAATTGAAAAGTGAAAGTTATATTCTAAAAAAACATATAAGAAAGAAAATTAGGGCTGGATAGAAGAAAATGAATAATACAAGAAAAGTGAGAGAAATAAGTAACAAACAAAAAAAATTACTTCCCAAGCATTCCAACCATGGTTTCGGCAATCCATTGCTGGCTTGCCCTTCCTGTTCCACTTCCAGCAGTCCATCTGCGGCCTCCCCAATTCTCCTTCACTTTTCGCCTCTTTCAGTTTTCATTGTGCCCTAAAGTAGGTGATATACAACATATATATATTGGGAGAATTCTATTATGTGGGTAAGCACATCATTATAAGTTATAACTTACAATTAAACAAATCCAACGGTCATATCTGATTTATATATATATATATAACATATAAGTATAATTATATATAATTTTAATCGAATCAGATTATTAGCGGATCGGATCGCCCTAATCCATATCCGATTTGTTAAGTTAACGGGTTATCGGATTTGGATCATAATCGGGTTATCGGATTTTTTATTCAATCCATATCCGGTTAATCGGATCGGATTCGGATCAAAATCCGATCTATTGACAGGTCTACTTTATATATTATAGGGTGGAATTTGAACACGATGGGTATTATTTGCACACATTTTAGTTTTTTTTTTTTTTTTTCTTTCTTGCACTTCTTTCGTTTTAAATACCATACGCTCAATAAATTACAAAATTATAAATAGTGATGTATATAATAGTTGAGGAGGCCCTGGATGACATGGGCCGGGTCCGACTCGCAAAACACAACCTTCAGTCCGAACAGCTGGGTCAGCCCATAGAAAGACACTGCCATATGGGCCGAGCGGGAGTAAGCCCATCAAGAGTGACCAGGGCTTACTGAGGAATAGGCCCAGGTCCAGCAATTAGTAAATATCTTGTAAATATCTTGTAAATATCTGGTAAGTATCTATAAATAGGAGTTGGAATGAAGAGGAGGGGGATCTTGATTCGGGTTGAGGTGTAAGAATTCTAGAGAGAGAAAGAATAGAAGGAGTTTCTTGCATCTTCAATTGGCGCCGTCTGTGGGAAACGCATAAAAGTTTGGTTGATCAATGAGGAGTATCGAATGGATTCAAACCAATTCGGTTGATCGAGACTCGATCTTGCGGATTTGAATCCAGATCTGAGCGATTGTGACCTACTCTGGAGGAATTACGATTCTTGAAGCTTTGGCAGGAGTGACTTCAGATCTACGCAACCGCGAGTTGCTCGATTGTGACAGGATCTGACGGATTTAGAGTCCAGGCAATTCAGATCTTGTAAACAGTGAGCATAATTCGGAGAATTAGAAGCCAGATCTAAAAATTCCTACTCACGAAGCTTAGATCTACTCGCGAACTTGAGATTAATGCCTTTACTCCGTTCGGGAATAATGATAGGTGAAAGCTCCAATCCGATGGAGGCTGTCCAGCAAACGAAGCTTGAAGAGTTGATGAATTTGATTGAAGCTCTCAGAAAAGAAAATGCAGAATTGAAAGCTGGATTGCAGCATCGGCAAATACCCGCAGTTTCGCATCCGCTTCCGGTCGGAGAAGGAGGTGTTCCATCTAGTATCGCGCATCAAGGCGATCAGAACGAGAACAATCAGTCAGCTCACCACCGTGATGAAAGGATGATGGACAATTCGCCGCCAAATGTTCGTCGAGTTGAAGATCACGAAGGCTCGACTCACGTTGATCCGCAGCGGGAAAGGTTTGACCGAGAGGAAGTGATGGAGGTAGATCGCCGTCGAGTAGCGTCGCCTTGGCAGAGAGAGTTCATAGAGGAACGGTCGTTCGATCCGTCTTACCGGCCCTCCATGGTTACTGTCACTCATCACGGTTCGGAGGGCAGAACCGTAACTCACAGAGCTACCGCTGGACTCCAGAGAGAGAATGAAGCTCTCCGATCCGCAGCTCGGACGGTGGATTCACCATTCACCGACGAGATCTTGAATGCGCCGCATCCAAGGAAGTTTGCTATACCAGTCTTTATTCTGTTTGACGGAACAACCGATCCGATCGATCATGTGTATCATATCCAGTTGAAAATGGCCCTGAATACGGAAAACGACTCTTTAATGTGCAAATGCTTCCCTACAAGTCTGGCCGGACCGGCGCTCAGCTGGTTCAAAAACTTGCCTAAGAGCTCCATTGGCAGTTTCAGGGACCTGTGCGATCGGTTCATAAGCCAGTACTATGGGAACAAACGCCCGCCGAAGGACATCTCGAGCCTGTTCACGATGCGGCAACACAAGGATGAACGGCTCCAGGCCTTTCTTACCAGGTTTAATCTCACTAAGAGTATGGTAATCGAATGCCATCCCTCTACGGCAGTTCAAGCCTTCAAGTTAGCCATGACACGCGGAACTCCGTTTCACACCAGTCTGGTAGTGAATACGCCAGCTACCATGGATGAACTCAATGAGAGAGCCGATGGCTTTGTGCGCCTCGAAGAAGAGGAGGCAGCTAATGCTCGGACAACGTCGCTTGTGTCGACCGAGGAAAAGTCCAAGGCAAAGATCAGGCAGAAGCAGGCTCAGCCGCAACGTCAGACCACTTGGAAGGCCGAAAAAAGGTCCAGGGAGGAAGAGTTGATTACTCCGCTGAAGGTCACTCTGGCGAGGTTATATCAGGAGAACAAGGACAAGTTTCATCCACCACTGCCAATTAGACAACCCCTCGAACAGAGGGATCAAACTAAACATTGTGCTTTTCATTCTGATTTCGGACATCAGACTAACGAATGCAGGAACCTGAGGAGACAAGTGGAGATGTTGATAGCTAGAGGGGAGTTTGCGAGTTATGTTCAAGGCTCGGCGATGGAGCAGAATCGACCAGTGGAACAAATAAAAAGGAGTCATAAACAAAGCTCCCACAATTCGCAACCAGTTCGTATAATCAATGCTATCCATGGTCGACCCGAGCCTAGTGAAGAGCCAGATGAGCTGCTACGGGTGCGCCTGCGGCAGGCGCAGATGAAGAAAAGGGTCGGCAATGTGACCACTCTACACCAACAGAGCCCGTCAATACAGATAAAGTTCGACTGGACAGACCTGCAGCGTGTTCAACTGCCTCATGACGACCCGTTGGTAGTCAGTTTGACAGTGGCAGAGTGCTTGGTGCGCAGAGTTCTGATCGATCCTGGGAGCAGTGCGAATGTTATGCCGAGGGACACATTTGACAGGCTCGACATTAAACCAGAGAGGCTCAAGCCCACCGGAAATCCCTTATTAGGGTTCGATGGGAAGAGGGTGGAACCCGTCGGGATGGTGGAAGTAGAAGTTCAAGCTGCAGAGCGAGCTCTTATGGAAACTTTTGTGGTTGTGGAAATTCACCCCTCGTATAATCTCCTGATGGGAAGAGGATGGATTCACAGAGTCCGAGGTGTACCCTCAACTCTGCATCAGGTCATGAGGTGCCTCGGGCCCGATGGAGATAAAGTGATAGACATTCGGGGGGATCAGGTCGCAGCCAAAGAGTGTTATTCCGTCACACTAAAGCATGCAGGGAAGGGAAAGGCGCCCGTCCGGTCGACAAGCCCCAGATAGCAATTACAGGAACCTCCACTCGAGCAGAATAGGGTGGAGGAGTCAGCCGACTTGACCGAGGAGCCCCTTCTGGATGTGCAGATCGATCAGTCCAGGCCAGAACGAACTACCAGAGTGGGTATAAGACTGACCAGAGAAGAGCAGCAAGAGCTAGTGGATTTCTTATCCCACAATGTCGACGTATTTGCATGGAGTCACCTCGACATGCCTGGAATTAGTCCTTCCGTCTCCTGTCATTCCCTGAATGTCAATCCTAATTTCAAACCAGTGAAACAGAAGCAGCGAAGATTTGCTCCAGAACGTAATCAGATCATAACGGAAGAAGTTGATAGGCTGCTTGATGCGGGATTTATCAGAGAGGTGCACTACCCTGAGTGGTTGTCCAACGTCGCTGTGGTGCAGAAGAAAAATGGGAAGTGGCGCGTATGCATTGATTTCACCAATTTAAACAAAGCCTGCCCGAAGGACAGTTTCCCGTTGCCTAAGATTGATCAAATGGTGGATGCCACCACGGGGTATGAGCGTTTAACCTTTCTGGACGCATATTCAGGTTATAATCAGATTCCTATGGACCCCGCAGATGAAGAAAAAACTTCTTTTGTCACCGAGCGAGGAACATACTGCTACAAGGTTATGCCTTTTGGATTAAAGAATGCGGGAGCTACTTATCAACGACTTGTCAGCAAAGTTTTTAAGAATCAAATGGGTAAGATTGTCGAAGCCTATATTGATGATATGGTGGTGAAAAGTAGGAAAAAGGATGATCATCTGAAGCATCTGCAAGAGGTATTTGATGTACTAAAGCGATATGGGATGAGGCTCAATCCGACCAAGTGCTCGTTCGGTGTGAGTTCCGGGCAGTTTCTGGGACACGTGGTCAACCGCAGGGGCATCGAAGTTAGCCCCGCTCAAGCAGAGGCTTTGATTAAGAATGCCGAGCCAAAGACGATCAGAGAGGTGCAAGCCCTAACAGGACGAATAGCTGCATTAAGTCGATTTATTTCAAAGTTGTCAGACCACTGCAAACCATTCTTTGACACGATTCGGAGCCATGGAAGGCAGGTCTGGGGGGATGAGCAACGACAGGCATTGACTCATTTGAAGCAATATATGCAGAATCCGCCAGTCCTGTCAGCCCCAGAACCGGAAGAAAAGTTATTTCTATATCTTGGAGTATCTGGTGTCGCGACGAGTGCCGTTCTGATTCGTTGCAAGGAAGGGGTGCTGTAACACCCCCACATTTCCCACGCATAAGTTGATCAGGCTTATACACGAAAAACGAGGGATATCAAAAACAATTGGCAATATACAAGCATGGAATACAAAATGATGGAAATAAAAGAATTTAGACAGGAAAGAAACATTAAATAATACAACATCCATCCATCCTTTATTTAATACAGTACTTCATTACAACTTGGAAATCCTACGTCAGGGATCCCTAAATATAACCCTGAGAGTTCAACGTCAAAAGTAAATAAAAACTGAAACTGAAATACTACATAAAACTTCTACCCTGCACTGGATCGTAGGAGTAGATGAGTTCGGATGATGGTCCCACACTGCTAACCTCAGCCTTGAAACGGATACTGACCGTATCCTGAAATAACAACAATGGTGGGTCAACCCCACGAGCAAGTCCTCTCTACTATGACCCAAATCAGAGAATCAAATAAATTAATCATTATGAATCGGTTGAGTACTATATCTGTATACATCCTACGGGAACTATCCGATGTATAACATGA